TCAAACTCTGCACAGACATCATTCTGCACAATGAAGATCAAACATCCACCTGTAGGAACCAGAAATACAATAGGACTTTAAACTTCCTCAAAGCTCATTTTATAAACATAAACTTGTGAATTATGAAAGCGTATTAAGCAACAGTCCTTTTCTTTTTTGTGCAACAGATTCCAAACTCTTACTGAGGTAATCGTCTGGCCTCCACAGAGAGTCAAGTGGTGCCTCTGCGGTGTCACCTCTGTGCATTTAGACACTTGTTCCTCTCCTTGTAAGGTGACAAGAGTCCCTGCCAGTCTGCCAGTGGCTCGAATACGATTATTAGCTTCCTGGGAGGCTCAGATATCAGGAACTGATCCACTCCCGCTGTCCCATTGGCTTCGAGTGCCACCGTGATATCAGACACTTTCAGCTGGGGGACAAACTGGGTGGCGAGTGGAAAGCGACATTGTCATAATACTGACATCAACCCCTGTGAATTCTTCACCCCCCTGGTAGTTGGATCCCTCAGTGCCACTGCTCTACTGGCCGAGAGACAGGAATAGCAGCGCTGTGAACGTGCAGCAATGACAAAGACAGAAAGAACAAGGGGCAGGAGAGGGTCAAACACGGTCTATCCATAATCTAAAAATACTAGGACTGAAGCATTATGTAAATATAACACGTAATTGCTCCTCATGTATCAGTCAGTGCTTACAATGGGTGTGTATCTTTGGGGGAAAATGTAAGTTGTGTTGGGACTAAAGAGTTAATAAAAAAGTTAATAAAGTCTTACAAAATGGAGGTTTTCAAATTAGGTGTCACAACCTCAAAATTGTACGTAACATAAGTAATTGAGTTTAAAAAAGAGATGCACCAAAGAAATGCTGTTGCATGTTAAGAAAAAGGGTTGAAATCGTCAGAAGGGTACAAAAACAAAGAAAAAAGCTAATAAAAGTATATATTTGTTAAATGGCTCTTACTTCTATATTCTCTATTGGATTTGGATTTATTCTCTATTAAAGTGCCCCAAAGTGTGTGAATAGGTGTCAAATTTTTAAAGCTTTAGATAAAAGTGCTATATAAAAGCAGCCATTTACAATTAACCTTTCATAATGGAATCTGGTTTCACCATTCAGGCCTGGATATATTGTTAGTTTCCTATCTCTTTTGACATGTGACCCTGTAGTCAAGCAATACTTCTTCTTCCCTCACTTACGAATAATTTAAGGACCTTTTTAGAAGTTCACGACCTTAAATTGCATCAGAAAAAGGAGGTTTATTAGTACAGTGTACACGAGTTTATGAGGTGTGGAAATTAGTCTGTGTGAGTAGTCACACCCATCTAATGACATCTAAATACAGGCTAATTTGATATAATTAGCCTCCGAAACAGATGTATTAATAGCTTCTTGACCCTGCAGTCATTTTTAAATGTCTTGCTGAAAAGAAATAAGCGACCAGATGTTAAAATGTCTCTCCAGCCACTAACTCTTCAGGCCTTATTTCAAAATAAGGCATTAAAATCAGCGACGTTTATTTTTATTAAAATACTGTATAAACAAACTAAATTTAAGTCATTGCAGGATCAAACCAGTGGAGTCCACTGTGTGAGTGTTTACTGTTCTCCACCTCATCTCCCTGTTTCTTGTTCCCTCCCTCCTCCCTCAGACGTCCAGACATTCCCACACCCAGAGTCTGTTGATTTTTTGTTGATGTTGGCATGCTTCTGTGGAGCCAGGACTGGGACTGACTGGCTGAAGTCGCTCATGGCCAGTTTCAGCCTGTGTCACCCTCTTTTACTCTCCTCAGCCTGCCCCCCCCCGCAACCCCCTCCTCTGTATAGTATGTCACTTATCTCATGCTACTTTACCATGAACTGTTTTTAGATCATCAAGAGAAATCCTGACACTTTTATTGTTTTCAGTGATCACATCAATCCTGAAGTGCACAGAGGAAGGGGTCTAATCACAATTGTATCCTACATACCATGCAAATCAGTTGATAATCCTGGGTGTAGTAAATAGACAACCTGAGGACAAAGAGCAGACAAATAGAAAGGTTTGTTTAGGATAATAATCTTTATTTTGATTATTTACAGTTCATGTGTCAGATTATTCTGTTTTTCTAGGTGTCTTTTTGTCTGTCTACAAATCAATATCAATAAATCAATATAATTAATTCATTAAGACGTTAATGTACAACTTCGTACATGTAAATGTAGCTTAACCCCACTAAGGCATATGAACTCTAGTAGAGGGAAAAGTTGAGCAGTCAGGAGAGATCTGCTAACACTAACATAGTTACAATAAGCATAAGTTTAACTGCTGCCTCATGTGGAATAACAAACTAAATTACCAAATGTCATTCATAAAAATTGATATTTATATTTATATATTTATTTATATATTTTTTGGTGATATTTCATGATTTCAATGGCCCTTTTTTTCTGAAATCCAAGTAGTCCGAAAAATGTCCCATTGAACGGAAAGCCCATTGTTCCAAAAATACTTATATATACGTGACTTAACTGATGTAACTTATATACTTATTTGAACCCATACCATGATCTTTTTCTAAACCCAAGTAGTTTTGATGTTGAAACATAATCAAGCCATTATACAGTGTTAATCACCTGTAGTTTATCATTGTTACCATGATGATGAAAGTCACCTGACTATGACGACAAAGGTCACTTGAATTCCTTCCTTTCCTGTATGTCCAAATAGACAACATTACACATTATACTACAGGCAAATAACTCCAGGAAGAGCGTACCTTTGGAAAAACAGACCTTCAGAGCAGAAGGGTTTTGTCTCCGTCGTGATTGGATTTAGCTGCTGGCTCATTTAGTTATATGGAATTACCAAGATCATTTGTGCAATACATTTTGTTTTAGCTTTACCTAAAGATATGTGTCAATCTCACCAGCTAGCTAAAGTTATAGTCTTCCTGCTTTAACTGGCTAATTAAAAAAAAACAAAATTTTGACCAAATATTTAGTTTCTGGCTCTTGCCTTTGTAGGGCAGATTTTGAGGGTGCCTTCTTTGTGCGGGACTTCATTTAACCAACTGGACTTAAACCTCTCAGCCCCATGCAGAGCAAAGCTAGTGAACAGCAGTTTGCAGTTTGACAGTTTGTCTTGCTCTTGCTGCTGTTAAGGAATGACGGACACAAGTGACGCGATGTCTTGTTGCTAATGTGTGGTCCAAGTGTAAAATATCATGTTTCAGGGGTGTATGATATTATAGTGCCAGTCACACGGGTGCTGTCAGCATCTTTAAGCAATTGTTACCTTAGCAGAAATTGCTATTAGACCTGACAAAGAAGCTTTGGCGACATACTTTTTGGGCTTTTATTGTGTGATCCTACTATAAAATGTCATTTTAATTTGGCTGAATATCAGTGCAGTGTGCTGAGCGGTTAAATCAAGTCAATTTATCTATAGCGCACATTCAAAAACAACACTAAGATGCTTTTACCAGAGAGGTGTAAAAGTACAATTACATAATTGGAAAGTTAGTTTAAAAAATAATTTGTACAACTCATGACAGAGTTGTAAATAAAATTGCTTGCAGACCTGCTGAGTGTACCTGACTGTGTACTTTGTGGCTGGGCTTGGATCATTCATTGCATGGTTGACATAATTATTGGGTGGTGGACACTGCTGAGCTATCACTTACGTGTGTCACACTTTGTGCCACCGGTTTCAGCATGACTGTTGCTTTTAAATTGAGGCCGCGGTTGTTGGTGTGCTGAGGAGATTTCAAGGTACAGACGGGAAAAGTGAGAACAGGGACAGCCTAGTTCAATTAAAAGCTTTTATCATCAGCAGATTTCATTTTGTACCATGCTCTGTCCAAATTCTGTTTTCGCTAGTCTGGTCCATACTGGCTGCTTCATGTCACCCTGTTTTTCTCTTTGTTATGTCAGTCAAGCCTGAAAAAGATCAAGCAGAGAGAGGAGGGGCTCAATTTTGGGAAATGGGCACATTTCAAAATAATGGCCTCACCACTGGGTCTAACCGAATGCACAAGGCAAATATGACAGAAGAATTTTTTGCTCGAATGACTGCTTTTTGTTGTTATTCCCTCTTGTTCCTCCTCTTTTTTGTATTTTTGGAGGAAGCTCTCTCTGTTGTTCAAGGGTCCCTCATCGCATGCACGCACTTACATCAGTGTTTGTCCGCCATGTCATTAAATTACCCTTTCTTTGCCTCTCTGGTTTCTTTCAGAGGGGCTACGATTTGCATGAGAAGTGGCTGAGAATGGGCCCCCTTCCCGTTTTCCTCCCTTTGTCCAACCATTCTTTTATTCCAAATTCTTCTCACTTATGCTCCTTCCTCGCTTTGTGCTGTGCATTATATAAGAGAGCTGCATAACACAGGCCAGTGAGTTAGCTTGGATGGTCACGGTGTTGTGCACAGGCATTATTTCCACACTAACATCATTTCCCCTCCCTTTCCTGGAAGTTTGTGAACAGTTTGAAACAAAGAAACACTTTTCTAAAATGTGTAAGGAATTGGAACCAGGTTGTTACTGAAAAGGTGTTTAAACACAATAAAACGTGTCAATGTATTCACCTGTAGTGGCAGTGACTTTGGCTTTAGCTTTGAGCAACAGCTTTGGGTTATTTGGTCTCTCTCAAGAGACTTTGTGTGTCTATATTTACCTGGGTGCAGCTCTGCAACAGGCTTTTAACTTTAAAGTTAGGTAACAATTACCACGAAGAAGCTCCATGGCAACAAAAGATTATGAGCTTAACCTGCACCTAACAGGCGCTGCTGGTCCAGATCTTGGACTGTTTATGCAGCTGCAGTGTCTACTGTGTCCACAGGGGGCATTCTGACCTCTGACCTTGTCTCTACGCACAATAATCCTGTTAGATCTGGCTGTCTGGCTGCATGGGCACAGCATGAGGTGAGTAATTGACTAGAGAACATCCACAACTGGAGTTATAGAGTGACAGAGTGGGTGCACAGGTTTCCGTAAATATCAATGCGGGCAAAGTTCACATAAAAAAATTATCAAGAAAACAAGTTTTTAATGTTGCACAGAACTGATATAACTTCTCTGACTTCACAAATTATGCACAAATCCAATCATTAAACATGGCTAAATAGTACATAATCGGTCATGATCTCTTGTTGTGTTGTCACATTCACCTGATGTAGAGGTACATAAAACGAACACATGTAATTATTTACAATTATGCCTTGATCCTTGTATGTCATACCATTTGGAGTTCAATATGGAAATGACTAGATTTTAATGAAGAATTCAATCAAAAATAAGTCAATACACAAAAGCCATCAGCTAGAGTAAAATTCATACAATAATGGAGTAAGGCTTTGATTTTAAAAAGCCATCGAAGACACAGACTTCGTGTGGAACAAAAGCATTAAGTATCAAAATAAAATCTCAACATGTTTCACAGAAAGGAATCCCTGAATATGGACTTTGTGAAACAAAAACTGCCTCCCGACCTGAAGTCACAACGGGGCAATCTTCTTCACTTTCACAATCCGGCGTCATCCTGCAACAGGACAGAAGTCACATGTTTATTTCATGTTTGGGACAGGAAGCGAGCTCTCAGATGACTGACAGAGCTGTTAATATATATGAACATCATGTTAATGTGCAGACATTTGTTGATACAGTACACACAGATGTGTCCTTCCTGAGAAATGTAGTTCAATGATGAATTATTCTTTGGATATGTGTAAATCCTGTCCTTCGAATCAACTTATGTCACTTATTAGTGTGCATATGAAATGTGTCCACATGCACGTCAGCAAAAACCTTATTTTAGCAGTCCTCAATATATGTTCAACCATGTGTGAAATCTGAGCTTAATCTTCAACTTTGGATATTTCTGTTCAAAAGTGCAAAATGATGTCTTGTCTTCAGTTTTCCAAGCTGGCAGTTTATTTACTGTACATTAATGGAGTCATCATATAGCGTGGTTTATTATTTATTTTCAGTGAACCTTAAACACACTGAATAAAAAGAAGTAGGACATTGTTTAAGAAAGTTGTAAGATATGATGGCTAGAGCCCGACCGAAAATTCACCAATTACTGATATGGCAGCAGATTCAGTGAGTTTTTGAACTGAAATGAAAATAGACTGATCTTGACTGCAAAGGTACTCAGAATGGTGCTTTCTTAAACAAATAACTTTATTTAAGAATAAAGTTAAATCCTAATATCTTAAATCTTCAGAAAGTTAAATATTTAACGTGTTAACATATAGGCTATATTATATATATATAGAAATTAACATTGAAAATAAAGAATATTGGCCAATATCGGCTGATAATATTGGGGAATATGGGGGAAAAGTTAATCTGGCTTTATAAAGAGATTTAAAACCATCCTATTCCTTTAAAAGAAAAGTTAAACATTTTGGGAAATAACACATAAGCAAAGCCAGTTACCTTAGATAAGCACAAATACTGGAAACAAGAGGAAACAGCTAACCTGGCCCTGTCCAAAGGTAACAAAATCCACTGACCAACACCTAAAGCTGACTGGTTAATGCATACAAAAGTGTAAAGACGACACAATGTCCCAATGTCAAACTATTCCTTCAAATGAATGGTGATCAATTTTCCTGTTTACTGGCGCAACTCCCAGCCAATCTACCTGCTTCCTTGCACCCATATTATCAACACAGGATCAAAACTACAAAACTTTTTCCCTTTCCTGTTTCCTCCACCAGTAGCAGACCTCATAGCATCCACAATTGCAATCAAAACAGCACTAAAGCAATACTAGGAAACTACAATAGGGCAGAGTCACTCCCCAAGCATCTAAGAATAGTTTGCTCTCTCCCAGTAACCAAACCAGAACATTTTGTTTGTCCATTCTGATAATCGGTTTACTTAAATGATTTTCAGGATTTGTTCACCTACATCTTTGCTGTCGCGACAGTCCCCGCAGAGACATCCCAAGCATCCGTTGACCACCTGGATGCCACACAGCACCAGCTGCACCACGCCCATGGACAGCAGCATGGAGAAGAGGACGACGTGCCACATCACAATGTTCTTAGGGCTCTCGCAGACTGTCCACAGAGTCTGGTTTACAAGGTAGCTGCTATTACCTCTGCAAGGGAGAACAGCAGTAGACCATTAGCAATGTCCAAGACACACACGGCATTAATGAAAAATATGTGTATAGAGGGCCAAGTTTGGGTGCAGGAAGAAAAAGTGTGATGACTGAGTTGAGGAAAAATGTGTCAGTAAGACGGTGAATGGAACAAGTGAGAAGTGGAGAAAGAAAGCACATGGAAAGTAGAGAGGAGAGGAACTGAGAGAGCAGCTTTTTTTTTGGAGGAAAGTGACATTTAACGAAATGATTAATAGTGGAAAATTAGAGGAATGGGTTGACCTTTTGGGAAATACACTTTCTAACTTCCTTGCCAAGAGTTAGATAAGAGGGTTGATACCACTCACATGATGGTTTGTCTAGTACCAGAAGCCATTTAGCTTAGCTTAGCACAGAAACAGTTAGCCTGACTCTGTCCAAAGGTATCTACCTACCGGTGTAAATTTTGGACAGAGTCAGGTCATCTTTTTGCCCCTGTTTCCAGTCTTTGTGCAAAGCTTAGCTAACTGGCTGCTAGCTGTGGCTTTATTTACCATACAGTATGAGTGTGGTATCCATTTTCTTACTCGCTACAAGAAAGTCAATACGCATATGTCCAAAAATGTTAAACTATTCCTTTAAAACAAATCATTGTTACTGAGAAGTCCTGAAACATTTACATTTACGTCAACTGGGAAAACCCCATTGGCTGCTGAAGATCAAACCGCTGATAAATGGACCTTGTGGTGAAATTGTTTAGCCATGTGAATATTTTGAAAGACAAGACAGGGACGAAGTCTAATATTTTGCAATCTGATAACACTGATAAGTTTCTTTATGTGTTGGAGATTAGGGCTTCAAATGATTTTCCATTATCAGTTAATATTTCCATTATTTATTTGATTAGTTGAGTCATAATTTTGTCTTTAATTTTATTTAAACAGGTAAGTCCAACTGAAGTTGAAACCTCTTTTGCAAAGGAGACCTGGAAGTTTGAAAGATAAACTAAAAACACTAAAGACTAAAATAAAGGAGTCATAGAGTTAATACACAGTTTACAATAGTCTAGTAAATTCTCCCAGAGATATTAGTTTCCTCATTTCAAAGTCCTATTGCAGACTACAGCAGAAAACATGAAGCCCTTCTTCCCCATTTTTTCACTTACATTACAGATAGACAGTAGATTGCAGTCCAAAACGGAAAGATATTCAACTAGTAAGGATATAAAAAATAGTATTGTTGGAAACAAACGTTCTGCAGATTGACAAATCTGTTAATCAACTGATCGTTTCGGCACTATTAGACATATTAGGACTAAAGTATGTTCACTGTGTGCAGTAGAATAAGCAATAAACAGGATATCAGAACCCTTCATAGAAAAATAAAAAAGAAAAAGGGGAAATTGAGGTTTGCTGGAGGAAGGTCAATCTGAGGTTGAATATTAATATCCCAACATCCATTGTGTAATTAAACTTGGTTCCCTCCCTGTGAACATTGGTGCCCTTTAAACTGCTGTCATCGTAACATACGTATTAACAACTGCCCCAGTCGCCTGATGGACCTCTATCAGGTGATTCGCCTAACCTCGTAAAATGTTTCAATAGTGCCAGTCGTGTTCTCAACGGAGCATGAGCACTTTGGCCTTATTTTAACTCATATAGTTTTGGGTCCAGCAAGAAGCCAAAGTACAGTAGACTAGACTAGAGCAACTGAACACAAGACAGAGAGTGCTGGTCCAGTCCGCCACCTACTGGATTTTTACAAATGTTGCATTTATTTTATTTATTTTTATACTGAAGAACTGAAACTTTTCTGCAGCTCTAACAAAGACAGTATGGTTGATAGAGATAACAGAGAAGGGATACACTGCCGGCCTAAAAGGAATGAGGAAGGGCTTGCAATATGAGGATGCAAAATACTTGTCAGGCACTATTAGACACTGGGGATATTCTACAGCATCACCAACATGGTCAGAAAAAAACATATTGTGTGAGAAACACTCACGTGCCAAGGTTTTCAAAGGGGTATGTCCATTCACCGTTCACCAGACACTTGGGTCCAATAGCCAGACCGGCTGAGGCCACACTGGTGCAGTAGATCGCTCCAACCAGACCGAAAGCAGACGAGAACACGGAGTTCAGCATCTGAATGAAAGATAAGAAGATAGATTGATGCTGATTCAATTGCAAACCATCACATATATTCGCTTGGAAAAAAAACCCAAATGAAGATCTTTTAAGTGATCACATTAGTAAAGCATAGAACAGAAATATCTACAGGTGGCTTTTTTTAATCAATCTAAATAAATGTATTAAAACGGAGGAAGACTCAATGGATGGAGTTAAGATTTTCAAGGTTGAGGTGGAAGATTGACACTCAACAAAAATGAACATAAAATCAATTTAATTAAAATTTGAATATTAAATAGAGTTTAAACTAATATCAAACTATAAAATTACAAAATAAAATACACAAATTACACAAATTAAAGGCAGATTAGACTGCTTTTCTTTGCTGACCTGCCACAACTAGCCAATTAGCAGTTTGGTTCCTGATAATTAAAGAGAAGTGAAAACTATTGAGGAGATTCATAGCTCTGTAAAGTATATTAAACAAAAATGTACTTTAAATAGTAATTCACAGTGCAGTTAATATAAATAAAGTAATAGTACTGTCCATATTTGGTGACATCCACATTATTCTAGTTTGTCCTTCCATTTTTGGTATGAAATCGCCCGGCGCCTTTGCCTTTTACCACCCATCATTATCAGTGCAGTCCCTACACTGACATGTAAATCTCACTTTACTCACCCGGCAACGGTTGCCACAGCAACCTGTTCCACAGCAACCCTTGCCCCCGGCCCTGATAGCTGAGCAGCTCGGGCACAGCATCTGAAAAGTTGGAAACAGTTTCCTTTTTTATTTATTCATTAAGCATGTGATATCATACTCTAAGTTATTTTAAATGTGAGCCAGAGTTAATATGTTTTCTCTCACATTTAATATACAGGTGTGTGTGTGTGTGTGTGTGTGTGTGTGTGTGTGCGCATAAATGTACACACATTACCTATCTACACATTTGCATTTATGTGTGTGCCTGTGTGTGTGTTCTCTTATCTCCTAAACCAAATATTGGTGAATCCTGAATGGAGTTGTCTTGTTCCAGGAGGCAATGACATCCACATAGGGAAAGGAAAGAATTCAAACTTCCTGGTCACTGTTCCAAACTAATATCACGGTGATTAAGACATGTCTGACAAGACTCAAAGGTCTTCGATTTATGACTTTTGTATTTTTATGAATTATTTATGGCCCTGTCAACCTTTAAAATATCAAGATAGTGTCGGTGGAGACATTGGTAAGGAGGAACAGGGGAACAAACAGAGTTTTAATCTCTTAACGGTCAAAGTTTCCCTCCAAGTTCTTTCTATTAAAAAATTTTTTTCACACTGTCACACATACAGCGGTGGAGGTAATATTTCCTTTACTTAAGTCAAAGTAGCAATACCACAGTGTAAACATTCTCCATTACAAGTACAAAATGTACCAAAAGTATCAGAAGTCAAAGTACTCAATGCTAAAAAATGTCTGGAAAAATTAGTGTTATATATGTAACATAAGTAATGTATATAATCATGTTATAGTAGTAGTTTTAACATTGTATTAAAGTGTAAGTTGCATTTCAACCCTGGATGTGGGTTGACATTGAGCTCATTTTTTGTATATGTTTGGGGAGTTAATCTTTAACAATACATCATTCTGTAAGTTCATCATATGTTTTGTATGTAACATCTTAATTTATACAGTATAGCTGACAAATTGTAGTTCATCGTAAGTATGAAGTAGCATCAAATGGAAATACTAATAAGTACAAGTAGAAGTACCTTAAAATTTTACTTTATACTGCTCATTTCAATGATTGTTAAAGAAAAATCTAATGCTGAATTTAATATTACATTTTTTAGATACCTGACATCCTATTCATTCACTCATGTTTCCCTGTAATTCAACATGAAATATTTTTTATGTTTAAACAGATTATGAATAGAATTTTAGTTAAAGTTTTGGCCGTCTGGACTCCTTTAAAAATAATAACATGAAATTATTGGACAAAATATACTTTAAAAAAGTTTTGTCAATCAATCATACTCAATAAAACTATGAGATTTTACAGGTTTACACAGAGCCGAGTTAATGACTGAAAAACCCAATAAAACAAACAATAAAACATCAAATACAGATCGTAACGCTTTACTCACAAAGAGGCCTCCTCCGATGAGTCCCCCCATGAGCCAGACCTGGAGGGAGATCTGATCATTCTCCAGACTCTTCCCGTCGGGGAAGAACAGCAACAGGTTGGCGATCATGCAGATGAACGCTGTGGGCAACAGGATCAAGCCCACCAGGCGGGCACATTTCCCCATACAACACATGTTTTGTTTTTTTGTTTTGTTTTTTTAATTTAATTTTCTGCTCCTTCTCCTTTTCTCCTCTCACTACGAGTTTGATTTCCTCTCTTTAAGGTAGAAGGAAGTCGGTGAAGTATGGGCGAAACAAAAAAAAGGGAGGCGTATGAGAAGCTAACCCCTCTCACACTGAAAGTCAAACACAGCCAGTGACAGTTCGAGCAGGAAGGAGGGGGCGGTGGGGGAGCAAAGGCCAAGTATTGGTGTGGCCGGCTTGTAATCTGATTTCAGACCTGTGTGTCTTCTCATGTGCCTCAGATAAAAATGAAAATCTTCAGTTTTGAAAGACTCTCCTCTACAAGTTAAAACATTAAACCTAGACAAACTATAGAACACAGACGGGAGGGGGGTACCAGGGTGTGTGTGTGTGTGTGTGTGTGTGTGTGTGTGTATAGGGGGCTCTATATGCAACTGGACGCCCTTTGATACCTGCTCATCATGCTATCAGTGTGTTTTGTTCTATTTATGGCCCACTACAAACACAAGAGAGGGCTTGGCCTACAGTTTGGCTTAATAAAAGCTCTGTCAACCACAGATATAAAATCTAACCAACCGGTACAGAATGAGGTGTAAATTAATGAGCTTGTGTCTGTGCTTAATTTAAAGCATCACAGATATGAGATGAAACGTCACCGCCTTTGGTTAATTAGGAATCAGCTCTACTTAAGTTATCCTTCTACAGATTTCAGTTGTGTTTCTGTAATACCAACCCTGCAGGTATCTGGATTTAAAGAAATGTGGGCTTTTATTTATCAAAAACTGGAGAAAGCAAAAGTGACTATTTACTAAATTGTGCCCTAAAAGAGCCCAGCAAAACTTAACGTGGCCTTATCATACAGCAAACTGCAACAGAACTGAGTGACTTAAACTAATGACACACATAAGGGGCAAGAACCAGAGGGGCGTAAGTGCAATTTGGAGCGAAAATTAGTTATATATATTTATCAAATGCAAGCTATTTCTACTGACAAAAGGGAGGCAGGAAGTCTTTGTAGTACAGGACTGGCTTATTTCTGGGAGCTTTGGGGAAATATAGTGAGGTTGCAATGTGTAGTTTTGCTGTGCGCTGAACTTCTACTGTAGTGTGTACTGTGCTTTTATTCTGAAATCAGGGCTGTAACAATCATCTGAGATGTTCAGGACATGTCCTCAATTTTTTGTTTTATCTTGACATTTTCCACAAAACCGTTCCTTTTGTGAGGAAACGCATCTTTTCTCATACCTATATGTTTCATGCTACTCAGTAGACTCAGTAAATTAAAAAATCCCAGAAGAAGAGTACTTTCACTTTCATTGCATTGTTGCAAGAATGACATGACATGCCATGCCATCCCATAACTGGCTTGTCCTGTTCATTGTTGACCACAGTATCAAAAAGCTGCTTGTAGAAATCCCCAGTTGTTCCTTTAAGTGTCTAGTGCACAAGTTGAGTTGTTTGGCGAAGCATTCAGGGAGCAGAAGCTTTTTCAGCTGCAATGGCAGGCAAGTGTGTTCTTGTTTAGTCCATAAAAAATATACTTAATATGCTGCGACTGTGAGTGCAACCTGTGCCAGATGTATCAGGCGATCTGGGATAAATTTGAGCGACACATACGATTACTTGAAGAATACACTGGTGTCTCAAATAGGGAGTAATACAATGTCAAAGTCAGTGAGTTGGTTTAACAATTGGTCATCTTTTGAGTAGTATTGATCTGTGTGGCATTTATTTCATCTCAGGATTATGTGTGTGTACTTGAGTCTGAAAGAGCTGTGCAACAGTCCTACATTTAATTACATTGAGTTGTGTAAAGCTGTTTGATTGTAAAGTGAATCTATGATTAAAAAAAAAACTAAAAAAAAACATCCAACATGATTCCAATAAATGGTCTTATTGTGTAATATTCACTAACTTCTCTAAAACACACAACAAACAAAGTGTTGTCAGAAACTCGCCATTACTTTCACTTTTGGATTCAGTACCATATGACAACAATAATTATTGTTTGAATTATAAGATGATGTTAATATTATATTTATAATAGTGGTTTAATACCTGCAGCGGAACCACCTAGACATGCATCAGATGAGGTGCTTATTTTCCTTTTACTTTGCATTTTTGCTCACTCATCTTCCTTTCTCCTTCATGTATTTAATGTAAGGATAAATTAAATTATTACATTTTTGATTCCAAACCACATCCTCAATCCAAATTCCAATCCATGGGTGTTTTTAGCTTTTCTAGTGGCCTGGTTCTGGGGATGGAAATGTTGGCCTGTCAGTTTTTTGCCATTTTGTGATCATCTATCTGATGAATTGGCACATTTTCTACAAACAATCATGATCCTTTAAGAATTTATTGTAGTGACTTTGATCCCCTGATTTTTCATCCAGCGCCATCATCAGGTCAAATTCACCTTTTGTCTTTTTGGTTTATGACTAAACACCTGCACAACTGATGACATTCCCATCAGCCTCAGCTGTACTGTTTACCCAGTGTTAATTAGCAAATGTTAGCATACTAGCAGGCTGAACTCAGATGATGAACATGGTAAACATACAGAAACTGTGGGTTTATTTTGTCCCTGCGTGCAGTTTGCTCTTCCTGCCAATACTTTCTGACAACAAAGGGAACTCATCAGTCTGATGTTTTGTATTGAAAGGGGTTCATTAAATATGAAAGATGTGTTCTTTCAGTGATCATATAGTAGAAACTGGGGGAGAATAATGCCGGCTTTATGCTGTTTGCTCTCTAGCCCCACCTACAGATCGCCCTGTGACAATAACTGTGGCTGCATTATGGAGGGCTCAACTGGAACCCCCACCACCGAGACCACCAAGACTATCAGGTAATAAAGACTCTAGATAAAGATAAAGATTTTATTTTTGGTGCTCAAATTTCTCAATGCAATTTAATTCACCAGCAAAAAAAAACAATAAACGACAGCTTCAACAATTTCTATAAAGTTAAATCACTACCTTTAAATCTTGGCTATTTTTTAATGTAAAAAAGTTATTATATGACTCAAAATGAATTTCACATTACCAATTAAAATCTATTTTTATCCAATCTTACCCCTCAAGTTGCAGTCATAGTTGTATGGACTGTCCTAACTCTGGCACAAGTCATCTTTGGTCAGTATCCTCGGTCTTCAGCACGATGCTTGTCTTTCAACAACCCTCAGCTTTGTAACCACACATTGCTCATGTCAACCATTTCCACAGGCGTCGTGTATTTCAATGACTGCCCTCAGCAACCAAACATTCCCAACTACCTGTTAGGGATGGCTCTGTTAACCCTGCTGATGATACCATGTGTGACCCTCCCCTGTGAGAGCGATGCAGCTCAGCCTCGCGGGCACCCCAAAGGTTTCAAAGCGTGTCTGATGTGTTTATTATCCCTGTGTATCTTCATATGGATACTGGCAGGTAAGGATGAAACATATCATGATTTCTAGAAGAGGATTAGTTCTTTTAATTAGAAAATACTGAACATTTTCTTCCAATAGATTACAACTGAATGTTTTTATCCCATGCTGCACCTGCAGGTGATGTGTGGGTCTTCTCAGTCTATCAGCCCAGCTATGATCGATCAGCAGCTGATGGTCTTTACTGTGATAAGACCCTGTACACGTTTGCTTTCTGGAATGCAGTGTGGGAGACTTTTGGTGTTTGGGTCCAACTGGTCAAACTCTGCAAAGGACTGCTGTGTTATGTGTTCATAAGTCCCACACCAGCAAACAGAGACTTTTATGGGAACGTATGAGGCATGGATTGGACATTTATATGCAGCATCTGAGCAGACAGGCTTAGAGTTTCATGTGTGAGAGTGTGTGTGTGTGTGTGTGTGTGTGTGTGTGTGTGTGTGTGTGTGTGTGTGTGTGTGTGTTATGGCAAATAATTATTATTTTCATTATCAGGTTATTTAACTACTTGTTTGGTCTGTAAATAACAACGCCTATCAAAACTTCCAAATACTTGCAGATTAATCAAGCATGGTGGGAAATTAGCACAATTTTAGCCAAATTCTGGTAAAATAGGAAAGTTGCTGATAAATTTCAGACACAAAATAATGATTAACTATTGAGATGCTGATGATTTTTGAATGTGCAATAAACTAATCAATACATTTTCTAATCCTTCCCACTCTAGTTGTTTCCCTCTAAACTTGGTCATTGTTGTTGTATGTGTTGTTTTTCTGTTTTACACTTTGTCATTTTTTTAATGTTACAGAGATATGTAAACTTTTCAGACTTACTTTATGTTTATTTATGTGCTATTTCATCTATTTGTCTTACTTGTTTATGTAATATTCGTTTTTGCTGGAATGTCAGTTTTAAATAAATGTTCCTGGTTTAAGTTTTGTGAAGTCTTTAGTATTTTTAATTTGTTTTTATTTTGTGTGTAAATGTGTAGATTTGCTGTGCGCTGAACTTCTACTGTGCTTTTATTCTGAAATCAAGGCTGTAACAATCATCTGAGATGTTCAGGACATGTTCTCAATTTTCTGTTTTATCTTTTATCTCAAACCTATAGGCTTCAAGCTATTCAGCAGACTCAATAAATAAAAAAACTCCCAGAAGAAGAATACTTTCACTTTCGTTGCATTGTTTATTTTTTATCAAGAATCACATGACATGCCATCCCATAATTGGCTCGCCCTGTTCATTGTTGACCACAGTATCAAAACAGCTGCTTGTATAAATCCCCATTTTTCCCTTTAAGTTGAGTTGTTTGACGAAGCATTCGAGGAGCAGAAGCTTTTTCAGCTGCAATGGCAGGCAAGTGTGTTCTTATTTACTGCAAAAAATATATATACTTAATATGCTGCAACTGTAAGTGCAACCTGTGCCAGGTGTTTGAGGCGATCTGTGGTAAATTTAAGGGACGCATACAATTACTTAAAGAATACACTGGTGTCTCAAATAGGGAATAATACAATGTCAAAGTCAGTGAGTTGGTTTAGTAATTGGTCTTTGTGGCATTATGTGTGTGTACTTGAGTCTGAAAGAGCTGTGCAACAGTCCTACATTTAATTACATTGAGTTGTGTAAAGCTGTTTGATTGTAGAGTGAATCTATGATAGTCTCAGTCTGATTGTGTAATATTCACTAACTTCTCTAAAACACACAACAAACAAAGTGTCGTCAGAAACTCATCATTACTTTCACTTTTGGATTGAATACAATATAAGATAATGTTAATATTATATTTATAATAGTGATTTAATACATGCAGCCCGACCACCTAGACATTCATCAGATGAGGTGCTTATTCACTTTTACTTTCCATTTTTGCTTACTCATACTAATATATTTAACCTAAAGATAAATTAAATTATTATTTTTTTTATTCTAAACCACGTCCTAAATCTAAAATCTAATCCATAGGTGTTTGTAGCCATGCTAGTGGCCTGGTTCTGGGGATGGAACAGTCAGTTTTTTGCCATTTTCTGAAATATCTGGATGTCTATTTGATGCATTGGCATATTTTGTTCAATTTATTGTAGTCACTTTGATCCCCTATTTTTTCATCCAGCGCCATCATCAGGTCAAATTCACCTTTTGTCTTTTTGGTTTATGACTAAACACCTGCACAACTGATGACATTCCCATCAGCCTCAGCTGTACTGTTTACCCAGTGTTAATTAGCAAATGTTAGCATACTAGCAGGCTGAACTCAGATGATGACCATGGTAAACATACAGAAACTGTGGGTTTATTTTGTCCCTGCGTGCAGTTTGCTCTTCCTGCCAATGTTTTCTGACAACAAAGGGAACTCATCAGTCTGATGTTTTGTATTGAAAGGGGTTCATTAAATATGAAAGAAGTGTTCTTTCAGTGATCATATAGTAGAAACTGGGGGAGAATAATGCCGGCTTTATGTTGTTTGCTCTCTAGCCCCACCTACAGATCGCCCTGTGATATTAACCTTGGCTGCATTATGGAGGTCTCAATTGAGACCCCTACCACCGAGACCACCAAGACTATCAGGTAATAAAGACTAATTTTATTTTTGCTGCTCAAATTTCTAAATGCAATATAATTCACCAGCAAAAAAACAATAAACAACAGCTTCAACAATTTCTATAAAGTTAAATCACTGCCTCTTTAAAACTGTTTAAATCTTATAATAACAATTTAAAAAGTTATTATATGACTCAAAATGAATCTCACATTACGAATTAAAATCTATTTCATCCAATCTTACCCCTCAAGTTGCAGCCACAGTAGTACAGACTGCCCTAACTCTGGCACAAGTCATCTTTGGTCAGTATCCTCGGTCTTCAGCACGATGCTTGTCTTTCAACAACCCTCAGCTTTGTAACCACACATTGCTCATGTCAACCATTTCCACAGGCGTCGTGTATTTCAATGACTGCCCTCAGCAACCAAACATTCCCAACTACCTGTTAGGGATGGCTCTGTTAACCCTGCTGATGATACCATGTGTGACCCTCCCCTGTGAGAGCGATGCAGCTCAGCCTCGCGGGCACCCCAAAGGTTTCAAAGCGTGTCTGATGTGTTTATTATCCCTGTGTATCTTCATATGGATACTGGCAGGTAAGGATGAAACATATCATGATTTCTAGAAGAAATTTTGTTCTTTTAATTAGAAAATACTGAACATTTTTTCTAATAGATTACAACTGAATGTTTTTATCCCATGCTGCACCTGCAGGTGATGTGTGGGTCTTCTCAGTCTATCAGCCCAACTATGATCGATCAGCAGCTGATGGTCTTTACTGTGATAAGACCCTGTACACGTTTGCTCTCTGGAATGCAACGTGGGGGACTTTTTTTATTATGGTCCAACTGGTCAAAGTCTGTTATGTGTTGATGAGTCCCACACCAGCAAACAGAGACTTTTATGGGAACGTATGAGGCATGGATTGGACGTTTATATGCAGCATCTGAGCAGATAGGCTTAGAGTTTCGTGTGTGTGTTATGGCAAATAATAATAATCCTTCCCATTCTAGTTGTTTCTTTCTAAATTTGGTCATTGTTGTTGTATGTGTTGTTTTTCTGTTTTACACTTTTTTTCTGTTAGACAGAAATATAAACTTTTCAGACTTACTTTATGTTTATTTATGTGCTATTTCATCTATTTGTCTTATTTATTTATCTTATTTTATTTTGTAATATTGTTTTTGTTGGAATGTCAGTTTTAAATAAATGTTCCTGGTTTAAGTTTTGTGAAGCCTTTAGTATTTTAGTATTTTTCATTAGTTTTTATTTTCATTTAATTCTTATTATTTTCCAGAGAGGGTTTGCTCATTTCAGTTTAGTTTTGTAATTGTTTAAAATGTTTAGTTTTAATCAGTTTCACTATCATTTTTCCATTATAATATGGGGGGTATTTGTCAGTTTATAATAGGTATTACAAGACAAACACATCAACTCATGCCAGTCTCAGTAAACATTAAGCACCAGTGCATCCTCATGCTTGTTGATAATATATTTTTATTTCAGTTTAATTTGTATACAATATCATTTCAGTTAGTTTTCATTAGTTTTTTGTCTTTTTTTCTTTGTTTTCAATCTAGTTCAGTATAGAAACCTTTATTTCAACCCAACTTTGTAGTTTTATGAAGTGCACCAATTAGGTTATGATGCGTTATTCTGGTTGAATTTCAGTTATATGGGCTTTTTTTGGGGTGTTTTTTTTTTTTTTTTGTCATGGTGACCGTTAGTTCAACATCCCCCTTTTTCTTCTCGCCAGAAACTTCACACACAAGTAAGGTTCCCTCTAGTCATGATCATTGACAGTATATATCTCATGACCGTCCAGTCCAATAGGCTGTTTCGGGGTGAACTCCGCCTCGTCTGGACAGTGGACGGATCGAGCAGCAGCAGCAGCAGCAGTCGGACATTTCCCAGCAGCCTTCAAAGAATATACAGGAAGTCACAGAAATGTTTGCATCCTGCAATCCTTAGGCTTCTTGTAGTTTGCGGACCACGCTCAGATATATAAATAAACTTTATTTGTATTAACCACACGAGATATGTTTGTTAACAGATTAAACCTTCATTGCACAACATAAAGCAACAATTTAAACAAGTTAAATATTAAAATCACACAGGAAAAAAATCAGGGAAACGTGGTGTTTGTTGTCAAAACTGAGAGCCAATCAGCTCTTAGATCAGCCAGGCGTTTCCCATCACGCCCCGGGGGTGCCCCTGGGTCTTGCAGTCGATGGAGAGCAACTAACCGGCATGCATTGTGCGGCGATCGCCGGTGATCGATTCTGCGCAGATCTGGTCCCCCCCCCAATAAAAACTGTTGGATGACGCTCGGTTCAACCAGCCAATAACGTCGAGGTAAACAATGCGCGTGCAGCTGTCCTCGCTCCTGTCGTCCAACCTGGTCGGGCTGAAGCCAGAGTACATTTTAAACATTAACACAGCTGTCACCCATGTGAGTTTACCAGCTGTAAAAAGGTGACACAGTCCACAGCTGTCGTCTTCTGCAATGACAGGCAAGTCCACCTCTCTCTGTGTGTCACACTCTAAGCCTTCCCTCACCACCGTCACACTGTACATGTGAATCATTCTGCTGTGCTTTGTTTTTGTTGAACCCTGCTGTTTTTCCGTTGTGTGCAGATACAGTTAAAGAGCTTGTTTCAAAGTGCCTGCAGGCCCGGGACATGGCATACTGTCCGTACAGCCGGTTCCCTGTCGGTGCCGCCGTATTAACGGCAGATGGCGCTATAATCACAGGTAATAATGGTAATAAGCCGTCAAAGTAACTGGACAACTGGGAAGAGCAATGGTGGAAAGAGACTTCTGCTTAATAAATGTTATATACTGCTACTACAGTTAAAGTCAGTACTTACTCTACAGACTTAAATGTTCATTAAATAGTTTGCATTAAATGAAACAATCAACATCAAGTGGTTGAATTAACTAGTTATTTTTTAATTCAGGACTTTGTGTTTTTAGTGGTTTTATTTAATTAAAGTATATGAAAAAGTATTCCACCACTGTATTATACTCTAAACTGGCAATGCAGTGGTGGAAAGTATTCTACTTTTTACATATTTTTTACTTGTTCACTGTTACATATCAATACTTTTTATCTGTTCTTATACTTTTCCTTCTTATCTTATCTTATCTTATCTTATTTTTAATCAGATTCTGATTGTCTTATCTTAGCTCACAGAACAATTCTGAGGTGAAGTATGATTGTATGCTTTATATACAGTGAATTTAATTACTCAAAAGTATATTTAAAAAAGTAAATAAAAGGTTCACCATATATAGAATAGTTAGCTGCATGTACACAAATACATCAGTAATAATACAGTAATATAATATATTAATAATATATTGTGAGGTGCCAATCTGATGCAATAATAAGTGGTTTTTTAGCTCAATTAAACTTAATACAAATAACACTTTTCTGAACAGAAATTATAAAGTGGTTCATGAAGCAAGGTAGAAAAAATATATGAACAAAATATGGAAATAAGGAAAGTCACGTGTACAACTCATAAAGTAAAATGTATGAAATGATTTGATTTAAAGAGTCCAGAGTCTAATTAAGGATTTGTGTATTTTCAGGCTGTAATGTGGAGAACGCCTCCTACGGTCTGACAGTGTGCGCCGAGCGGACGGCCATCCAGAGGGCTGTGGTGGAAGGACACAGACAGTTCACTGCCATCGCTGTCACATGGTGACACTCTCACTATCAATGATACATTAAGAGCTTCAAATAGCACATATTCTCAGACATTCATCCCCTCTCCCTCTATTATCTGTAGTGATATCAAAGACCGCTTCGTTGGGCCGTGTGGAGCATGTCGACAGGTTCTTATGGAGGTGAGGCTTCTCTTTTATGACCAGTACAATCAATCATTATCATGTGATCAGAGAGCGATACACTGCAAAGCTTTCCAGGTTATCAAATTATTTTTGTCTTTAAGTGTTTGTCAGTGTGTATTTGAAACAGGTTGAAATATTTTTACTGCACTTGCAGATTTTGTTACTTTAAAAAAAATGATCTACTGAATTAAAGACAAAAACGAGAGGTCGGTTTTTGCAGTGTATACAAACCAGGAACATTAACTCTTCTTTATCAGACCCATATTTGGGTATTGCAGTAACCTGTGGGTGTATTTTACAGGAACGTTAAACATTGATACTAATAACCTAGCACAGTAAAACGATCCTCATAAAGTATAGAGCAGCATTGTTCTGTTTTTTTCTCTCCAATCACAATAAAACTGTTTTAGCAGGGGTCGAAATTCAGCAGTTTCAATAACAAACAAAAACAGACCATAAAACTATCACTTTTTTTAGATTAAACTTAGTCTTTGTTTGATAAAATATAACAATGCATTTGCATACTGCAGTCGGGGCAATAGCTGTTGGACACTGGGGTATTTTTTAAGGAAATTTGGGAAACTGCAAATCTTTTTTGGTCAACAAAAATAAATAGATAAAGGATTTAGGTGAAATTTTGTTATTTTTGGGTGTTGTGATGCTATCTATACCTTGCATGTTTGCATTTTCTCCTTCCTTACGGTGCATTTATCTCTGTCTCACCAGTTTGGAGCAGACTGGACTGTATACTTGACCAAGCCAGATGGATCTTACAAAGAAACCAGCCTCAGTGAACTGTTGCCTCTAGCCTTTTCCCCAGCCCACCTCGCAAAGAACTAATGAAACCTCAACAGCATCTTTAGACGTCACTGTTTAGTACTTTAATACTTTATAGCTGCATTGTCTGTTTTATTCAATTAACACTGCAAATTAGGAAAACAATAAAAACCTATTCTTCCCGTAAACATGTGTGATTATTATTATGACCGCGATTAGAGGGGTGAGACTTTAGAATTGGTAATGTGGGATAAAGTGCATATTTTGAGTCATGCGCCTCATGTGAGCTGTTACGTCTTTTATTTATGATGTCTTATTTATTCGTCCTGTACAGCACTTTGGTCAACTTTGGTTGTTTTAAAGTGCTTAACAAATAAAGTTGGATTGGATATAATTACTTTTGTGCATAGAAAAATAGCAGAACTGTAATTTCTTTTATTTTTTGTGATAAACTTTATAACTTTGTTTTGAAACATTCTGTACAAATAAATTATTACTATCATTATCATTATTATTATTACTATCATTATCATTATTATTATTATTATTATTATCATTATTATGATTATGCAACAGGGACGTCACCAGAGAGCTCTAAAGATGACGTCTCCAACATTTATGTCATGTGATTCGAAAGTGGGCGTGTCCGAAATCAGTTTCCGGAAACATGGAGGCTGTTCTGAGCGATGTGGTAGCTCCCGAGGACCTTTTAGTAAGTTTTCAAATCATTAAACCTCTTTATTTCGTAAAGAAAACATACATATTAACACAGGCGGGACACACACTGAGGCTCTTACAACATATGTTTGTTTTTAAATGCTAAAACCTTCCGTAAAAAGCGACGTGTAGGAGGATACTTTGTCGCGTCACCTCGCTAGCTAAATGCTAATGATGATGGTGTTTGATCGCTGATCACTGGGTTATCGATTATGTCCGCTTATGGATCAGTCGTGCTAATGTAATAGCTCGGGAATTATACGTACTTTTACGGACTTTAACGTCATCACTGTTGGAGGTGGACTGGTGTTTTCCGCTCTTGTTTACTCGGGAAATGTCGCACAATGAGAGTTTTATCTGCAAACACAGAAACACAATAAGTGACATTTGATATCAACAAAACAAAGTGTTTCTCTGTTCCACTGCCTTCCTGTACTGATGAGTCACTTATACACGTAACGCTCGCTTCATGTGGGTCTGTTTCTGTTTTGTTTTGGCAGAAGTTTGAGAAGAAATACAACAGTGAGCTGTTGAAGGGAGCCGTCTCCAAAGAAACCAAGTTCGAGTATGCTTGGTGTCTGATCAGGAGTAAATACACAGAGGATATCAAGAAGGGAATTGTGCTCTTGGAAGGTGAGTTCATTAATAAATATATATATATATGTTTTATTGCTGTATGTTAAGTTCACAAGTTCAACATGCAAAGCACTAAATCAGCCAGCTTATATTAGGTCAGAGGTCAAATTCTTACTTGACAACTGAATCAGTTTTGTTTGCGAACACACTGAAACATTACCTTGGTGATTATTACAGCATCATCTTTAATCTCTTCTCCATAGCTGTAATTTAAATATATATAAAATGCTGTAATGTATTGAGTTCCCTGCAGTGTAACAGCAATAATTAATAATAATAATAATTAATTAATAATACTCGCTTACTGAATGTTTGACTATTAAATTAATCAGGAATTGAAAATATACGATCTTTTAGTTTCTAATATTATTTAAAAAAACAACTGGTTGATAAGTAGCACTCCCTACAGTACTTTATGTGTTATTATCATGGCTGTATCTTAAGATTATTTTCATTATCAATTATCTTCACGTTGTTTTCTAGATTAATTGTTCTGTAAAATAGACTAAATAATTTCTTCCCAGAGCCCAAAGTGACATCTTCTGTTGTCTTAATGTATCTGAAACTAGAGCTAACAGTCCAAACCCCAAGGTTATTCCATTTACCACCAAAGAGGACTAAATGAAACCCAAAAATATTCACATTTGGGAAGCCGGGACCAGGAAATTTTGGTTAATGGACTATTCAATAAATCCAAAAATATTAATTGTCATGCACTCAACAATATAAACTTAATTTTTAGACAGGATGTTAGTTAAAACCTGTATAACAGACATGGCAGCTTCACTGCAAAGTATTGATTGCTATAACATATGAGCTTGTATTTTTTCACAATTAAATTAAATACATTTTTTAAACAATCACTGTTTTTTTTGTCTTGTAGAGCTTGTTCAGAAATCATCCAAGGACGACTCCCGGGACTTCCTGTTCTACCTTGCAGTGGCCAACTACAGACTCAAAGTGAGTGTAATGTTTCTAAAGTCAAGATAATATTGACATTGTTTAAATGTGGGATTTTCTACCTGAGCGTTTCTTATCATTTCTTTATGGAGTCTCACGCTTTAATGCTAAGTCATTTACCTTACATTTGATTACATCATTTAAAATGTGTACACATCTGAGAGTACTTTCTATTTCCTCTTCCCTGTTCTTCTCCCAGGAATATGAGAAAGCCCTGAAGTACATCCGAACTCTTCTAAAGAACGAGCCGGGCAACAAGCAGGCTCTGGAGCTGGAGAAACTCATCGTCAAGGCTTTGAAGAAAGGTAAGAACCAATCTTTGTCGTATCATAATAACAGACTTTTAGCAATTATTTGACCATGTTGTCGGAGTGAATAAATACAGAATGCCGACACTCACCTGTTGTTGTCCAGATGGCTTGGTTGGCATGGCGATCGTCGGAGGAATCGGCCTTGGCGTGGCCGGTTTAGCGGGACTCATCGGCTTGGCTGTGTCAAAGGGAGCTGCTAAATCCTAAATGGATGTGAGACGACATGTCTTCGTTTTGCTGGACTGATACACTGACCCTTCCCCTGAATAAAAAATAAATAAAAGTCTATGGCGAAAGCTTGAGGGATGTAACATTTTGGAGTTTGGTTTGAAGTTGAATATATATACTACAACACATTAAAGGGTTTGAATAATGAGTGCATAACCTGATTTCACATTTTAACAGGGCTGAGATTCACCATACTCATGACATTACTCTATCACACACCCTTGCATGGCACTTTGTTATTATTTGTGTAAATAAATTAAACTAGTCGAGGTGCAGCTCAATTTTATGTAAATTCTTAGTTAGTATGCGCCTCAGCCTAAAGTTGACATTTACATTTTGTAAAAAAAAATAAAAAATCCATATAAAAGTGCAGTTGTAGGTCTGTAACTGTTGAATTATTTCTGACATGAACGAATGCATTGTTAAGGAAAGTGTTACTAGTGCAGTAGGAAGTGTAGCTTGTAATGCCAAAAGCAACAGTGTGGTTTGTTTGCTGGCGATGTCGCAGTGACTGCCATACTGCTGCTAGAGGGCTGTACGTCCAGCTGCTGTTGTGGAGGCAATGAGGAGATGTTTTCATTTACTTTGGACATGAGGTTTCTTTTCATTTGTTCTGAGTATTTTAAATTAAGGGAGGCAACGCGCTTATTGGAAATGAAATACCTTTTGTCATGTAAAATGCATCCTCTAACATTTATCTGTGCTACATTTAACGGGTTGTGTTATCCATCTTGTTAAATAAAATGATTTTGAACTGAGAGAAGATTTGTGTTCTCTGGAAATTATTGTTGAGCTGTTCACTGACAACTGAGTCTTGGAGTTACATACGCACAGATATGTATCTCTTTTGTAAGAGAGAGCTGAGTACAGGAAAATAAATACTAACAGTCAGAAATGCTGACACACCAACAGCATCAAAAACAATCAGACATCTGCAAACAGGTACAAACCGCCACATTTATACTGCTTGTTTTGTCCAGCCAGTAGTTGGACAAAACATGAAAAACAAGTCTCCAAATAGTTATACGTTCATTTTCTGTAAACTGAGAACCTGACTAATTGTTTCAGCTCTAACTGTATAAGCTGTTGGGTAGTTTAATCTCCGGCTGCTCCTGGTCTAGCACACTACAAAATAAATGAACGGTTACTGTTGGTTGGTTGTTCCGAATAAAGCCAATCTAACCCAATTCCATGGTATTTATATGATTTAACAACTTAATAAGTGAATGAATGTCACGAAATTCTTCATAATAAGACACATTTTTATCAGCATTAAGTTTGAGGCAGCCTGAAATCTAAACATTATTTATGAGCTGAATGCCTACAAAACTGTATCATCTGCATAAAAAAGGACATCATGTCTTGTGTTTTTCACTGTTAAGACCAGGAAAGTGATTTCCATTTATGTAAACCATTTATTATTTCCATAAGGATCTTTTGTTGATGGAACAAAGTCCGCTACACAATTACATTCTTATCACTGTCATTATGTGATTATTAGATTTACAATGAGGTTTTTGGTGGATGCTGTGTAAGAGAGTGCATTATGATCTTTATGTAAGGGTCTTTAGCGCTCTAAGATTGGGCCGTGCATGTTTGAACAGAAACGTGCCTGGCCTAGTTATAACTCGCCGTCGATCCTCCTCTTCATCTTGACCCGCGGGGAGATTGAAGTCGCTGTTTTACGACAGGAAGGCTCATGGAGGCTATCAGTTGTGTGTGGCGTTATCAGCCTGGGATTGTCACTCATTAACCCGCCTGACAGGACCGAAACTCCCCAGGGACATATCCATGAAAGCAATAATGCTCTTTGGTGTGAAAGAGGTGAACAAGTGGGTAAAGGAAAACAGAAAACCAGACATCAGGATGGGTAGACGTTTCTAAGAAAAATTTATCTAATATCCAAACAGAATATACACTTGAAAACGACCCAAAGCTGGATTTGTTTTCAGACTCATCCCACGTGCAGTTTAAACACACTAACATCAATGATTCATTAAAGCCAGTGTAATTCAGATCAGCTTCAGTGAGTTTCAGTTACAAGGGCCAACGTTCATTGCGCATCCCCTGGTTTAAACACATGGCAGAAAGATATTAATGTGTAATCACCATGAAGAAAGGGAATACGACTGGGAACATGGTGTAAGTTACACCCTGTATTCATGTCATCTCACAGTAATTTGAAGTTACTGTATAATCCAGTAGAACAGCAGTTTATTGCGTCGATTTATGGCACACAGACAGAAACATTTGACTTTTGGCATAATTTTATATGCAGTTCCTTCATGGACTGAATTGTATCCTTATATTTTGTTTGCATAGCATCTCAGCCTGAAGAGATAAATAGGAAACACTTTTAGAGATGTTATTGCTGGATACAATCATATTAATTTATTTGTTGTCTCCTAGATTTTGCACCAGCTGCAGACAAAAACAATCTTATAGGGAACACCAACAGTGGAAAAGCAACATTTTGTGGCTTTTAGGAGTGGAAAAAATAGCTTTTAAAGGATTGATATGCTTTAGCAAGAAAGAAATTCTTTCAACAACATGTCACTGTCAGCATGGTAGCGCCATCGCTCTACGGGTGGTCTGTTAGTAGGTCAGTCGGTGCACCACTTGTTCCAGATTGAAATATCTCTGCAACTACTGGATGGATTGCTATTAAACCCGATACACACATTCATGTTTACCCCAGGAGGAATTTGTAGTCCTTTTGGTCTCTTTCTATCATCAATAACCGAATACCTGCAAAACGTTTGATACCATCAGCTAATGGGCGAATTAGCAAACGTTCACATGCTAACAATGTTAAAAATGTTAAAGCCCCATAACACTTGGTTTGAAATCTTAAGTTTTCTACGCAATATTAAATATTCCTGAATAAACAATATTTTTAGTAAACAATATAGAGTTCATGAACCCAGATAATCTGCTGCATCAGGATTGTGAGGGTGTGGTCTTCTCAGATATAATTGAAAGTTGCCTAGCAACATAAGCAACAACCCACCAACAGTGATCACGTTTTGATTTAAATATCGCTACATTCTGATTGGTGCAAAGAAGTGAGTGACATCCCCTTTTTTCTAACAGAGCGCTTCAAACGCATAAAAACAACATCGAAACTGTTCTGGACCCCTATTGCTCGTAACCATAAGCCTATTGAGAAAATATCTAATATAATATAATAATAAATATATATAAAGTACAACAAACTTCTGAACACACTCTGTCCACTTCATGATTATGAAGATATATTACTATTGTTGTAAAATAAT